CCCCAAAGCCTGGCAAGAACAAAGCACTGCAGATGTTATTAGACTGTGCTAAATTGGCCAAGTGAAAGCCTAGGAGGGAAGCCTAGGCTAGGTTTCAACTCAGCCAGCTTAGCACATGTTCAGAATTACAGGCTGTCTTCTTTGCACGCGACTCTCAGAGTGCACTGGTGAGAAAAAGGGCACTGCAACCTAGATACTGTGGAGGAATACAGGCACGCACAAACACACTCGGCGATCTTCAAAGGTTCCCCAGGGACAACTTAGGGCTCTTGAGCTGTACTCAGAGTTACCATGATGCCAGCGGGTTCTCCAGGGTCACGGGCGGCTGAGCTTATCTGTAGCTTTCTAGCTCAGCTGCACATACCTAGCACCCACTGAAATATTTGCTCTGACCTACAGGCATGTAAACGGATACTCTGACCTAACGTTCAGTTGGGATTTGGTTCAACAGACATGAATCCCATCCCAAATGTGGGTTGGGTTTGATCTGTTAAACAAATTAAGAAAAAAGTCTTTAAAAATAAAAAAGTCGTCATCGGTTCCAAGCTATAAAGCAGATCAAAAGAGTGGGAAGTCTTCTTCAGCAATCCTTGCCACACATTCAGTCCATCAGCCTAGCCTCAGCGCTTGTCCACAGCCAACGGATGCGCAGAAGGACTTGGCAGATGGATCATACCCTGGAAGGAGAGGGGACTAGCTTTCCAGAGGAGATTCACAAACTACCCGGCTTTAATATGACGGCTGGTACATGGTTACCACATTCTAAGGGTAGTTGCTGTTTTTCCCCCAAGACCAGGACAACACCATAGAGCCAGTGTGGTGTAGTGGTTAAGAGCCTGGGACTGGGACTCAGACAATCTGGGTTCTAGTCCCCGCTCGGCCATGGAGCCCACTGGGTGACTTTGGGCCAGTCACAGCCTCTCAGCCCAGCCTACCTCACAGGGTTGTTGTTGTGGGGATAAGATGGAGGAGGAGAATGATGTAAGCTGCCTTGAGCCCTTTGTAGGAAAAAGGCAGGATATAAATTGAAAAATAAATAAATAAATAAAACACAGGAATGTCCTTATTTATGAATCTCCTGTCTACAGAAGTCCATAATGCCAGATCTCTTTAGTGCAGCCTGGCACCTGCCCTATTTGATAGGCATGTCATGAGCAGAGCCAGCTGGAGCCGGGGCTCAGACTAGATGGCCCTGAAGACCCCTTCAGACTCACTCTGTTTCTATGTTTCTAACTCCCACCATCTGTAGGTAGTGTGAGGCCAGGTTAGAGGCAGCTGCTTTGTTGCCCCTGGGGCTGAGATATGCTATTACATACCTATGCATATGCACTAAAAAACCCCCTTAAATATCTAAATTAGAGAATTTGCCCTTCTAACTGCACACTTGCTCAAGAAAAGCCATAGTTCCTAAATAGCAAAGCAATTTGTAACTCATTTTGATGGTGAGCTGTCCCCAGATGCTCTGCCCATATTTGATTTGACAGACACAACTGGTCCAAAAATCTGCATGTGCTTAACTTAGACTTATTTTGACTTTGTTTGTTCAACTGGGTGTTAGAGTGGACCTGGGTCGCTGGCACTTTGATCCCCAAGTAAGCCTGGGGTAAGCAGAAGGCTGCCGAGGGCCGGCCACTGCTCACCCTGCTTTCTGGGGCTACTCTGTTGACCACAGGGTGGCCAGCATTGCGATGTCTAAACAACCCTACCATTCGTCTGTTCCTCCTCCTCCATTAGGCCGGTTTGCTCACCGCTGCAGCTAGAAGGAACGACCAGACAGGAAGGCGGAAGCGGGGAGAGGATGGGACTAGGCCGTGCGCCACAACAGGGAAGCATGTGCACAGCCCCCTCAGACCTAAAGCCAACTTTGCTCCCAAGCGCAGGCCCTCCCACATTGCTTTCACTGTGGCCTGGCTCAGATGACATTAGGGATCTGGTGCACTGAGCTGAGAAGTCTCCAGTTCAAACCTCCCTGTAGCTGAGGTGGAGGTGGGCCAGCCTATCACTCAGCCACAGCTGTTCCCCTCACATCCGTCACAACGTGGAGATAATAGTGCCGGTCCCTTTTACAAGCCTGTTGTAAGGTTTGCTGAAATAATGGACGGCAAATGCTCTGAACACTCTCAAGCACGTGGCTAATCAAATGCTAGTTGTTATTGGTAGCAGTAGTAGTGGTAATAGTAGTAGTAGTTTTACAAGCGCCCAACAGCCTCAAAAAGCCAATATGGCTCCTTCTAGTAGCATGGGAGACCTCTTGCTGCTGACTTCCTAAACTGGAAAAATGCTGCAGTTGTGGTTTATTTCTAGGATCCTTTGGTCCATTCCAGGAAATTCCAGTTAATTATCTGGCAGGGGGTGGGAGTAGAGGCAGAACCCTAATAGACTCTGGGCACCCTTGATGAATAGGAAGGTGAGGAGAGAGCCTCCAAGCTATGTGTCAAGGAAACTTAACCCTTTTGGCTGTGGGCCAGGAACTTTTCATGTGGATTTCAAGCCTCAGCCAGGAGATTCTCGGGTGCTAGAAAAAGCCTTTAATTTAAACCAGGTGCCTCTGAAAGAAAAACACTTCATGAAAGGCAAAAAACTTGGTCTGGTTCCCTCAAAACAAAAGGGCAATCACGCACATTTTGACTGAAATATTCCCTTTTTGGGTCCTGGCCTCCCTGCTTTAAACAAACTTGCTGAAACCTCATCCATTTGGACAATCTGCATGAAACTGAGACTACCAATATTTCTGGAGCCAGAGAAAATACTTGAGCAGAGTGCCAGCTGAGTCCACCCAAAGTTGTGGAGCAAAAAACCTTACAGTATGGAAAGCAGCACACAGGCTGGCAGGGAACAAAGGAAAGTGGGTTTTGTGGCATTCCTTTGTTGCGGCTGTCTGAAAAACTTAACACTACAAGTGCCGCAGAGAGCCGCCATCCAGGAGGGTGCGTCATTTGTGCGGCTCATACACCATGTGGAGAGTGAGGCAGGCGGGGACGGCTGGGGGGAGCAGGTGTGAGGGGAGAGTCTGCTGTTGATGTCATGCTTTTGTTTACGATACTGATTCAGTTGCTCTTCTAATCTGGTAGTGACAGGATGGTGGATCACTGCCCAGGGATGCTTCCGCCCACACAGGAATTCCTGGGCGATCTCAGAAGACACAGGGCAGCCTCCGGGAGCACAGAAAGGGGAATGAAGCATCTACATGACTTGGCAGGACTACTCCAGGATGTTTGACTCCCACAGGCTAAAAATCCAATAGCAACACCTTCCCCATTGTCGGGATGAACATTATACCGATACAGAACGTCAGACCATCTAGGTTAGTAAGATCTTTTCTGATTGGCAGGAGCTCAGGCAGGGGGCTTTCCCATCACCTGAGATCCTTTTCTGCACCTGGATCCTGCTTACCAAGCAAGTGCTCTACCTGTTGGGAATGAACGGGACAGTTGTTTGTCATGCCCACTGCAAGATCGGGCAGATATGGACACATCCAGTGACAAGACATCCTGGGAACCAGAATTCTTGGATGCTGACATGGAAGAGGGGGAGGGGCTTATCTCAAGGGCACCCTCCCAAGCTGTTCAAGTAGAAGTTGAGAATAGTCAGGACTTACAGCTGTAGGGAGGGGACATGGGAGAAGCTGAGCCTGGCATGACTCTTGACCCCATGACGCAATGTTGGGAGAAACAGGTTGGCAGACAGAGAAGAGGCTTGCCCACCTTCAGAAAGGACATCCCAGAGAGATGGGCCCCAGGGCTACTCAAAAGGAGAAAGCTGGGGAATAGTTCTTAGATTGGGTTCAACAAACTGCTCTGTATATGCTCAAAGACTCATTCTTCGTTGACTGTGCTTACTGGAAGTCCTTTGGTGAAATAAAAGAGTTTTTGCCATAGAATGGTCAATGTTTAGGAAGTGTGATGGAGGGTGAACCTGGCTCGCAACACTACCTCTGAGCTATGGCTGCTTCCTAATTAACATCAGGAAGCACAATCCTTTGGAGAACTCTCCTGAACAAACTCTGTTGAAAATAACAGGAACCACACACCACAACAAGCATTGCAAAGGAGAATGCCATGATAGACTGTGCCCATGAATCCAATCTCTCTCTCTCCAACCCTTCTTCTTTTAAAATGGCTGTCCCAAAGCTGCCATATGAGGGACCTGTTTGTCCTTGCCTCATCTTAAGGGTGTCCCTCTATTTCCAAAGATTTCCCCACTTCTCTACGAGAACTTGGATATTCAGAAATGTAAAGTGTTATAACCAGGTCAACAAGCTGTGTTAAGATAGATGCTCCATGCTGATATAAAAAATTTGGGACATGTGGGGGCAGGATGTGTGCACAGCCTTGCCAGCAGGAAATGTTTAATTGGTTTGCAAGATAGAGATCTCTCCATGGCCCTCTTGGTCCCTAAAAATACCTTTATCTTCCATAAGTCACCTCTACTTGAGTCTTTCATATCAAGCAGGCTGGGCAGATTACTGCAAAGCCATTTGCACAGGAAACACAGAAATGTATATCAAGTTTGTAAAAAAGCAAAACCAGCAAAGGAATACAAATCGTGGCTGAGATTTATCGAATGCTTCAGATGCGTCCAGTGAGATGTTTGTAGCATCTCTAACGTAACCACCAACAACACCATCCCGCAATGAAAAAATTCAGAGACATCTGTACCATGATTTTCAAAACTCTAATCTTGAAAGGCAATGAAGTGCATTGAATAAATAAAAACAAATATGGCCATAATCATTAACATATAGGTTTTTGTTATTACTACTGTACTTCTCAAAACATGCAAAACTAAAATTAAAGACTAGAAAATTAGATAATGTGTAACTTCTGATCGGTATATCACAATGGAAAACTTTCTATGTTTGTCCTGGTTCAGTTACTCTATCCACATTGAAGAACAAAGTAATATGGCCACAGTCAACTGTTTCTCAGCTGGAGATTACTTAGTCTCAGCTGTTGTTACCAAGAACTAGCCTTTTGTTTGAGAACCAATGTCTGACTTACCCAGCTAGAACAATGAAAAAATCCAGGCGATTCCATGTATCTCCCAGGTAGCATTTCTTTCCGAAAATCCCTAGTGCAATCATCTTGACGATCATTTCCACAGCAAAGAAGGCAAATATAAAGTCATCAAAGCTCTGGAAGATAAAGAAGCAAGCTGAGGAGGTGCACACAATGACAAACATCTGTGTTGGTGGCAACTGATTACTCATTAGGCAGTGGTGGGCAGAAAACCTCTCTCCAGATGTTTCAAATGTCAACTTTCAGAAGTTTTGATCATTGAGCATGCTGGTAAGGGCATCTGGAAGCTGAAGTCCCAAACATCTGGTGATCTGTCCACACCTGGTCTAAGGACCTGGCTTCAATCTGGTCCATGGATGACACTTATACTACTATTCCTATGTCTTGCTACAAGTAGGCTTGCCAGCTTTTTAAACTGTGAACGACTGGCAAGAATGCCATTTCATTCAGAGAGCAGGAGTACAAAAAGTCAGCTGAGCTGTACTGAAAAGTGTCCAGATATTTCTACTAAGTCCAGCAGTGGCTGAAGAATGCCATCTCCAATTGTCTGTATGTATGTATCTGTCCCTTAATCAGGGTCATGACTTCTTAGACAAGAAGTCAAGATCTGAATAAGCTGGACGATGAATTAGCTGTCCTTTCTTATCACAGTCTGGCAATGCATTCTTGTACTATGAAAAATCTCTTCTGTTGGAACTGTCTAAAAGTGGAACTGATGACTTCTGCTCTTTCTTCAGAATCTTAATAAAGGAACATTTCACTCTTCACACACACACTTTGAAAGCTTGAAGTGCTGAGCACTGCTGAGTTCTCACTCCTGATTCCATTCTGCAGGTGTATTACTAGGATCACAGGGTCTTTTCTTCAGCTTAATTTTCACCTACCTTTCCCAACTTCCATCCATTGGTGGATCACCCCATCCCAAGCACCTCTCTGATGTGAAAAAGAACTACTTTTGCTGAAAGCTTTGCCTATGCATAGCCCTCAAAGGGTGAGGAGGCATGTTCCGTAAATAAATCACGGCTTCTCCATCCTGTTGGATGGCACAAGGACTGTGGTGGGGTGGCTGGAGGAAGTAGGGAGGAGTACCCTAACCTTCTGGCTGGGCCTAAAGAATATAGGAAACTACCTTATAGAAGGTTAAACCACCTGTCCATCTAGCCCAGCATCGTCTTTGCATGGCTTCAGTTTTTCACATGGAAATACCAGGACTGGAACCAAAGACCTTCTGTGTAGAAAGCCAGTTCTCTTCCACAAACTATGGCTCCTTCCATATACTATGGTCTGACAAGCAGGCAGTAAAACACTGTTTGTTAAAAGGGAAAAAAGGCACCTTTACCTGGAGAATCTTGCAGCGTGGGGAGCCACAGCCCATGTCTTCACAAGGGTGGAACATGCCCAGGGTGACACAGTTCAGGAGAATGACCAGCATGCTGACTCTTTCAAACCAGGTGCAAAGGAACTCAGTCAAGGCAAACCACCAGTTTTGGAGAACAAGTTAGGAAGGACCCACCAGCGCCATAAACACAACATTATCAGGCATTAAGAAAAGAGATGGAAGTTAATTGGGGAGGAGGAGAAAAGGACTAGTTTCCTCCCAGCAGCTGACTATTCAGGTCCTGGCTACACTTTGGCGTGCTGAGTTACAGCATTTGTTGGTCTCTGAAGTCAAACAGAGATAGTGCCATATTTGCTACAATAAAATGAAAGCGACCTTGAGAACATAAAATAGTCTCTTCTCAATGTTTCTGCACATGTGGTATATTCGTTATTGTAATTAGTTATTACAATTGCCTTTTCTTGGGATTTCTGATAATTTCAAGCGGTTACAGAATCCAAATATCTACAAAGGGCTACCCAAACAACGTTGCTAAGCAACACAAAGGTGCTTACTGTTTCAGTTTTTCCCAGACAGTCCTCAATTTGTTAGAGAAGCAGACTCGACATCCATTCAGGATTCTCAAAGTGGTGGCCTTGATTTTGACCACTTTGCTTTGGTTTTTTCCAAGCTGTTTTTGGACATGATCAAACTTAGCGCACAGTCAATGTGTGTAGCATCTACACCTGTTTATCCATGTGTCCACAGCAAGCAGGTTTCTTGCCTGTGCGAAACAATATTCTCTTGGTGAAAGAGAGGGCACATTTGTATATCAGAAGAGCTAAGGAGTCTGTGTCCTGGTTCCTCTGATTAAAAAGGCAGCCACTAGTAAAACCCATGCATTTCAAAAAATGGCTTACAGAGAAACTTCTGCTATAACTTAGCAACCAAATGGTTTATTACCTATGGAGGGTAGAGACGGCTGCTATTAAAGGCAAATTCCACAGACTAAAAAGCAGTGTTGTACAATGTTTGATACTGAAGGTAATAAACAGTCATCAAGTGATATTAAGAAGTGCCAAAAAGGAGGGAGGCAGTTCATCTGGTTTGCAGACCTTTTAAAGACTAAATTGGAAGCTGTTCTTTAATTATTTGTTAAAAGGAGAAAAAAGAAATGGGGGGGGGGTAGAGCAAATTTAGGGGGAGCTACACAGTCACCCTGCATTTAGGTATTAAAAAGCTGGCTGCTCTAAATTGTGTTATATTAGAAACAGGGTTAAAGTAAAAATAACAGAATTCTATAAAACCTGACAAAGCAGCCTATTTATTCTTCACTAACAAGTCATCTTAGTATTATACAAAAGCGCACACACAACACAAAACCAAACATTTCCACTAAACAAGAATCCCATATTGTGTTTGCCATGCAAGCTTGTCGTCCGGGTCCCTAGAACAAAATGGTTAAAACGGACATTTCCAGCCTAAACCACGGATCGCATGTTACCCTGGCTAGTGAATATGTGGGGAGAGAAACACGTTCACTCCCTGGCCCTTCCCTTCTTCCTTTCACAAGTCCCTCAGACTTCGTATGTTAGAAGAATTGCTGAGGCACAGGCTGGGCTTGGCCGGGATGTCAAGGAGCGGATCAGTTTTTTGACAAGATGAATGAAAGGGCAGGTGCAGATCACACAAGGAGACTTCAGGAACACAAGGGGGTTGTGTGTCCCCCTAGTGGGCATTTTGAGTGACTTCTGTGCTCCAGCGGTTAAGCCCACAGCCACTAGGCTTGCTCCAGGGCCTTCTGTGCAAGAAGACGCTACTGGTGCTTGCGTTTAAAGCCAGTTCCTGCTCTTATGTTACAGGGCGAAAGTGAGATACTTGAAAAAACTGTTCGGTACATACTTGTAACATCTGGGGAAGGCATTCATTGTTCCTGCTGCTGTCTGGAAGACTTCTCTTTCACTCTAGCCCATCCTTAAGGCATTTCTTGACCATAATGGCTGTTACCGCTCCTTTGCAAGCTCAGATTGTGCCTTTGTCTGGCCAACATACCACACAGGCACCACCTAAACCTGAAGACCTTCAGGCTGAAGGAAGTCTTTGGAGCCTAGGAGCGGGCCTTCTGTCACAGCGACCAAATCATCTTATTGTTGTGCAAACATCCCAGAGGCACTGTCAAGAGAGATCACTAGGCCGACCCATTACACCAATGCCTACGTTCGGTGACATTTGTCACTGGCGCAAAGCATTTGCGAAAGGAGTAACACACTCATTGGCCTCCCTCCTTTCTCTTCCTCGCTGCCACATTACGATGCAGATCACATCTGGCGCCATGGTCATGGTCTGAAGCAGAAGCAGAATCATGATGCTTGTACACCTTGACATGAGACAGGACAACATGGGACAGTTGTGGGGCATAATACCGCCACATCAGCACAACAGCCTTGCAGAACGCTCGCCTTCCTTTTGGACTTACATTGGATGGCACCTCTCTCTTCACCACATCCGGGCAATCTCTCAAGCGATGTTGCTTGAAGAAAAGGCAGCCACGTTCCTATCACTTCCCACAGGTGCTCTTACATTTTCCAAATCCCCGCTTATAACCAGAAGAGCTACCACCTCGCGATGCTGTGGCCTAGCTCCATGATCGCTGCCCATCGCTGAGGCAGCACCACGCATGCCAGCAGGTAGAGAAGCCATGTGCCATAGAGGACTTCTGACGTGCTGGCTTTCTGGTGTGTTCTTTATGCATATTTCATACATGACATGTATTATATATGAAATAATACATAATACATTTCATAATATGTATGAAATACACATATTTCAGTTGAGATTTCCCTGCCACCATGGCTCCAGAATCCATTTTGCACGGGCAGCTATCAGGAATATTCTGGATATTCACAGAGGCCCAGGAGCCACCAACTGGGCTCAGACAATTGGCAGGAAAAGAAGCTGAGATGACATCTTTAATGATTTGATCTACAAGTATTGCGTGTTTATTTTTGTGTCCTCATTTTTATCCTTTTTGAATTTTATGTATTGATTTATTATTTTACTTAGTTTTTTTATTCCTTATGACATGCTGTTAAATGCATTGCTAACTGTATTATTTTAACTAGTGCTGTGAGCCACCCAGAAAGTCTTATGGCTAAGAGGTGTGGCATAAAAGTCAAATTAAATAAATAAATACAGACGGGCCAGAAACAGCAGCTGCATGATGCTGCAGCCTATGACGGTCCTACAGCTCTTGGGATGGTTCTCCACAAAGTGCCCTCTGGTGGCCTCCATGTCCTAGAAGGGCAGGCTGGTGCTGAACCCAGACAAGGTTTGTGGGAGAGAGACTCTGGCCCCAGTGGGAGCTTCCAGAGGCAGTCCATTTCAGTCCTCCAAAGGGCGCCGGAGGGAGCACCTCTCTCCATACATACTACCCACCCACTTAGATTTTCCTGTGAAGTCCTCCTCCGAATTACCCCTTCCCCACTGAGAACATGGGGGAAAGGGCTAGGAGGGGGGCATTTTCCGTAGTGGCGCCCAGACTGTGGATTTTGCTCCCCAGGGACGTACTCCTGGCGTTGACTTTGCTCTCTTTTAGATGCCAGGTAAAAACTTTTTTGTTCAGACAAGCTTTTAATTTAAATTGTATTTTATTATTTATTTAAGCTGGGTTGTTACTTTTATGGTTGTAATTGGTTTGTTGTCTACAGTTTTATATAATTTTTATTAAGTGAGTTGTTTTAGCACTTTACTAATTTTATTGTTTTTACTGATTGTATTGATATGCTGGTCTCTGCATTTGTAAGCCACTCAGAGAACCTTCAGGTTACAGAGCGGCATAGAAGTTAAGTAAGTAAGTAAAATGGCCTAGAAGTCAACTCGGTTCCCAGGGCCTCGCTGCAAAGGAAGACAGCAATGGTTGGGAACCGGTAAGATTTTTAAATCCATTTTTAAATGGATAAGCCCTGGCAGGGTTCTGGGGCCTTGGCAGCTGCCTGATGGTGCCATGTGGTGAGGCCAGGCCTAATGCCAAGCGTTTGGACACGAATGAGCTTGGCTGAGATGGACGGGGTTGGTGTCATTCCACTGCACATGTAGCAGTATAAAATGCTCTGCAAAGACAGCCGAGGCATTAGCTCTAGCACATTACGTTGCTTGTCTGGCCTTCTTTCTAGCTTTGAAAAATGAAGCACACACAGTTATCTTGAATCTTGGCCCCTGCTTATTTCAGTCCCTCAACGGGTCGTAGCAAAGCTGTGTGCCCTGTAGAATGACCTGGTTCTTGAGAGCATTTCTTCCTGCTTTCATCCCATGGACCCCTTTCCCGATCATCTGCAGAATGCCTGCTTGCTTCTAGCCCTTCTCCTCTGTTTTTCACTCTCACCTCCTCCATCCCTTTTTATTGCATGCTGTGAGAAGTTTTGTTGTCCTCTAAGCTGAAATTTTATTATTGGCTCTCATTTAAAAAATTCTGAATGAAAGAAAGTTGCGGGGGCAGGGGTGGAGAAGCAATACATGTATTACAAGGGAGGGGGGAAAGGCACTTGTTATAGTCTGAAGTGTACTTCTGAGCGCGAAGGAATGTGTTACCTTTGGTCAGGATACCTTGAAAGGGAGTGCATCAAATGGGAAGGCATTTTTAAATGTGGAGTCCCCTAAACAGAGGCCACTGTGGTGCAGTGATTCAGAGTGCTGAAGTAGGCCTCAGGAGATCTGGGTTTTAATTCCCACCCAGCCATGAAGCCACTGGATGACTTTGAGCCAGTCACTGCCTCTCAGCCCAACCCACCTCACAGGCTTGTGAGGATAAAGTGGAGAGAAGAATCTTGTAAGCTACCATCAATTCCTCGGGGGTGGGGAGGAAGATGGGATATAAATGCAACATAATTAGGAATAAAAATAGTAAGAACAAAAACTAGTTTGTCGCTGTGTAGAGTGGGCTTGCTCAGGTCAATTCTAAGTGCTTTGGATCGTGTAATGGATATTTTATGTGTTCACTCCCTCCCAGCTTTTTCCAGACATGTTCATTCTGCTGTCGATCTACAATCTCCCAACCGTTTGTGTTGTAACACTGTATTTTATTAAGGGCTTTGCAGTTCATCATTGGCAAAGTTATGAAAGTCCCCAGCACCCACA